TTCCCGACCGCTGGTCTAGACTATTCTTTTTTAAGAGTGGTTTAATGACTGCAGTTTTCAGTACAACTTCCTTAGAAAGGCAACACAGTTTTAGGAGATGTTAATATTATATGTGTATGCTCTACATGGGACAGTCTTCATTATTATTCCTACAACAGCAATAGTTATGGAGCCTTCTGGGTCATCACTGAAATGGATCACATTTCTTCCATTGGGCACACAAGCAATCATATCTGTTTTCCTTTCATAACATAATTCATTGTAGCAAAGCAAAGATGGTTTCTTATCAACATACAGTAGGTGTTGTTCTTCTACATGGTCTCCTGTAAGCAGAGGGATTTTGACCCGCAGCAATGAAACGTTCAGGTTTTCAGGAGTGTTACTGAAGCGCATGTTATCTGAAAACAGAGATGATGGCATAGTTTACTTCTGAACAAGTCAGACAATTTATGGCAGAAAATAGAAAATGGAGTGCCTTTGTTACAACTTGATGTAGCAACAGATAGTATCACATGCAGAATCTTGACAACCTCTTTAAATAAGTTGACAACAGCTTTATTAAACATAAGGGTGAAAACTATGCATTGATTTGTACAGTGAAAAGTTTGGATGTTCTAAAACCACTCCTATCACTCCTGTCACTATTAATAGATTACGGTCACTGCTTTGAAGACAGGGAACTGGTCACCGTGATGATTTGCAAAAGTCACTTCAGCCCAAATGGCCAGACGTGCGGGAATCTGGGTGTTCTCTGAAGCTCACGGTAAATCACGTAGAGACTGCAGTGCTGTCACACTGCGTAGCTCTCCTGCGAAGATCACTCACGCCATACTCCATTAGCAAAAGGCTGCTCTCCACATGTCACCTTTTGAACAAAGAGACATGTATTCATCCAACACTAAAGGAGGAATGCTAGCAGCCATAAATAAGGTTTCCGTAAACACGGTCTGACACGAGAAAGAAGCCTGAGTAATTAATGTAAAAAAACAATGTTGTATAACGTTTTTAGATTGGAGTATGTGCTGCAGTGTGTGTGTGTGTGTGTGTGTGTGTGTGTGTGTGTGTGTGTGTGTGTGTGGTGTGTGTGTGTGTGTGTGTGTGTGTGTGTGTGTGTGTGTGTGTGTTTTGGATCTGTAATGAAATGACTTTCAGATAATCTGAGCTGATGTGTTTCATAGTAAGGATCAGATGAAAAGAGAGGGGTGATTCTTAAAGACAGGAGTTGATTGTCAAAGAAACAATGTGTCACTTCCTGATACTGTGTTTGCACTGTGTGTGCTGTTTCTTTTAATAAAAACATAGTGTATGAGCATAATGTAATTTCTGCAGTTCAGCCCAGAGAGCACTATTTAGTTATGCACATTAGTAAATTAAATATTGCATTTATATAACGGTAGTGTTTTCTTGCACTTTTCTCAAATATCATGTTACTGCATTTGTGATTAGGCTTTCCCTGAAGTATTATCAGTATTGGTTTTGATATCCACCTGCTGTCGCTATGACATCATGGTATTGATTTCCCGGATGACTGCTGTGGAGAACTGAGTCACGTTTCCCGGAGAGGTTTGAGGATAAGCCAGTGAGGAAACCCCCTGTGGGCATGCTTTGGGCAGGGCAGAATACATCATGTCGCTTCTTTTTTATACAAGTCTCTGAGATACTGCTTCAAAGATGAGTTATGACACACTTTTCATAACACCACAGCCCTTACCTGCCTCAATAGGCTGCTCACAGTGTGATTGGATAATGAAAGCGCCTCTTTGAGCTCAAGGAGTCACACAGCTCTCTTTCACGTGACCTACAGCAGACCTTAATTAGTACGGCAGCAGATTGTCATTTGCATTTACGTGCCCCAGTGAGGAGAGGGGAGGTGGCGTGCATATGGGGGAA